TATTGTATTGCTCTTTTGTGGTTTTTTGTATCACAAATAAGATATGTATAGTGTGCATAGGAATTGGATTGTATTGTTTTCAAATTGTAGTCTGGTTCCACAACAATCTGAGGGACCGTGAACTGGCCCTCTGCTTAAAAAGTTTGAGAACCCCTGGTCTAACAGAATGCAAGCTTGTTTCTTTTTAATACAAAATAGAATGTGTGGTATGGTGATATTGTAAAATGTACAAGATGCTTTTCACAAGTGGGTTCCTGTGTGATTTATAGCACCATTCTAATATTTATTTGTATACATGTTAGTTTTAGATTTTTATTCAGGCAAGAAGTAGTTTCAACACCATTAATACTAGCTATGTTAAAATCATTTCTTCTAGTGTTCCCATTTGGAGTGGGGGAACCTTTTTGCCTCTTCATAGTTTACTGAATAGTGAATTGCTTGAGAAAGTAACAATCAAAAGCTTTTTATATTTTCAATTGGTGACATGGATTAAAAATCATTACTCTTCATTTAAATATTTATCTTTGGTAGCTTGTTGAATCTAAAAAGTAGCACATGATGACATATAAATTAATTATACCATCCACAAAATATTGAAATGGTTATGTTTTTTCTCTCTCTCTGCAGTTGTCCTGGCACCCAACAAAGGAAGGCTGTTTAGCCTTTGGAACAGATGATGGAAAGGTTGGCATCTATGACACCTATTCTAACAAGTAAGATACGAGTCTGGTTTTGTTAGTGAAGGGTCTGATCACAAGTATGTTAATGGAGGAATAAAACAAAGCACTTTTCGGTGTATTTTCCAGTGACAGCCAGTGCAGAAGGGGAATGTTCTTATAGTATCAGAGCAATTCGTGTAATAATGGCTCAGGATGTTAGCCTGACCATGAAAAAGCAGTCTTGCCCTAGGAACATTCCAGCTTTTATTTTTCAACCCACCCTTGCATTGTTTCCAATGCATTTAAAATTTTTAAAAAATTAAATTGTAAACAGTGGTATTGCAGTCTGAAATGGGACCAGCAGACCTCCCCACCAACATTCTATGTATGCCAGTTTCCAAACAAACAAAACAGGAATAATAGAAATTTAGCTGCTGAGTAATTGCTTTCCTGTTTAATTAAATAAATTGAATGATGCCATGGAAATAACATCTTAAGACTTGTCTGTTTGACTTGGGAAGGAAAACACTCCTGGCAGGGCAATCTGCCATGTCTTATACATTTTCTATGTGGCATACCTTGAACTAGATCGCTTGGATTCTTACTTCCACCTTTCCATTGATCATAGAAATCAAAAATATGTCAAAATGAGTTAATTCATCAAATATCCCATATTTTTTCTTAGTGTGGCATTTTTCTATTTTGGGAAAAATGAAATTTATTATTGCAGACTTTCCCCTCCTTTTTATACTCCTGCAGTGAAAAGCTATTGAAATATAAAGCCTGGGACCTGGCCAAGTTAGTCATAGTCAGTGCAAAGATTGAGATAGTTAATCCAATAAAGTTAACTAAGAGTTAACCACCTTTGAATATTTCTTGCCTATGAAAACCCGATGAAATTAATGGGGTTGCCATTCATTGACAGTGGCTTCAAGATACATACACAAACTTTGATTGTCTTGACCTTAGACCTAAAAGTAGAGGAATGCAGAAGGTTTGTGGAAAATACTACTGTTGTTACTTCTGCCTATTGGTTATCTGTCTGCTTAATTGTTTTCCTGTTTGCTTGTATTACTGTTCATTTGTTTTTTTTAAAAAATATGTTTATATTTTACATTAGGAAACATATGGTTAATTTTCTTCTTTTAAACATGTCAGTTTTCTTTTTGCATTATTTCCATTAGGCCTCCACAGATCTCCAGCACATACCACAAAAAAACGGTGTACACATTAGCCTGGGGGCCTGCTGTTCCTCCACTGTCCTTTGGTGAGTCTTATGACATCTGCAGAATTCATTATTTATTTATTTATTCTATTTATATCCCGCCTTTCTCTAACCTAAAGGGGACTCAAGGCGGCTTTACATATGGCAACTATTCAATGCCTTTGGACAACAAACAGTTAAAATACACTTCAGTTAAAAATTAAAATTAAATGCACATTAAAAATGTAACACAACTGAAGTAGTCTTCCAGTCATACAAATTCTCCAATTTCATTGGTCCAGACCCTTCAGTTATCCTACAGAGATAACATGTTCCATTCTGTGGTAGGGAGTATCCCACCACAGTAAAGAAAGTAGTTTTCATTTAGACATAAAATGATGTGTTTGCTTTTAGTGTGGTTCCAAGCACTACTGTGTTCACTTTCCTCATGTCAAAACATCACATCTGAGGAATACGGTGTTGAATAAGATGTTGTTGGTGGTGTTATGGACAACATATTGTCTGGAATCATTTGCCAAAGGCCAGTTGCTGTGCTTGAGCTCTTCCTTCTGCTTACCTTTTTCAGACATCCTTTCTTCCTCCCTCCCTCCCTTCCAGGGGCTTACTTGGGGAGGGAGTGTTTATACCAGAGGTAGGTAGGCCAAATTTGATAGAGTACTATCAAACGGGGTTGTGTCCAACTACAAACAATTATGTGTCTATGATATAAATATGGCCAAGACATAGTAACTATGTATTTTGGTTTGTTTAACTTACACTACACACCTTTGAAGCCCCTTCCCTAGAAATTTTTAAAAAGAACCTCAAAACCTGGCTCTTCCACTGCGCCTTTGATGAGTAGGTATACAATTTCACATTATTAATCAGTCTTAAGTTCTGTCATCGGAGTATTCGTCGTCGTCCCCCCCTCGTGGGAAAGCCTGCTTCCACAACCCCCCCCCCCTATAATTGAGCTCTCCTCCGCAAATTACCTGCTTCTCTTCTTTATCTCGCCCGAGTTTTTATTTAGTTTTAATCAGTTTGTCTTTTAATCATTATATGTAGCCCGCCCATTATTATTGTGTCTGTGCTTATTGTAATTTTACATTGCTATGTATGCATATGTTTTATGTTAATATGATGCTGTTGTTTATTGTTTGCGTTTTCAGTTTATGTTTTGGTTTTTTTCTTTATTGTAATTGTTGTTTGGGCTTGGCCTCATGTAAGCTGCTTCGAGTCCCCATCGGGGATGGTGGCGGGGTATAAATAAAGTTTATTATTATTTATTATTTGAATAGAAGACTGTAGGAGAAGAATGTGAACACTAGCAGGCAAAAGATAAAGCATGCACAGAGGATATTAATTATGTTGGGGCAGTGAAAAATCTGATTTTAATAGCAGAGAGTTTCTCACCTATTGCTTTTAAAGCAATCATTTTCCTTTTTCTCTGCCACCCTGCAAATGAAGCAGTGGCAAATCAGTGCTGTTGCAGCCCATATCTTAGCCATATCAGTTAAAAGTTGAAGAATATGAGGTCTTTGCAGAGGCCAGAGATATTGATCTGTGTAAAGAAAATGTGTGGTTTCTGAACAGAAGGTTTGATCTGCTATTCATTTCAGAAGTCTTCTATGTCCAAGAATGAAATATGAATCAAGGTACAAATTCAAAGTGCCCAGAAGGTGGAACTGCACATTTTGCTAGCAATAATGTGCTTCAGAATACAAGGTTCAATGTTTCATTCTTTTATGTTATCTGAGACTGCTGTGTTCAAGGCAGCAGTCTTTGAATCTGAAACAAATTCCATTTGGATTTCTGTTCCTTGCTAAGAATAACCCACATGATCTCACTCTAAATGTCACTATGCAGCCAAGGAAGTCAAATGCATAATGGTGAGCCATTATTTATCTAACTAATACTTCTTCCTTAAATGATGTTGTTTTAATTGTTATTATGGTGATGTTTCCAAGTCTAAATAAAAGGCCTTGGTTCCAACATCCCAAAATAGTTCTGTATTTCAGGCTGTTTTATATAGTAGCATTTATTTCCTTTTTTTCTTAAATCCTTATTGTGGTCCTACAAAAATGTCATCTTTGCTCCTTGCACAAATTTGCTTTCAGTTGTATGCATACTACCAGTATAAGTTGCAAGGACCTCTGGCTTGATGTTATTCAGTCTCTGTAGCTCACACCTGGATTACTCTTCCCTTCTGTAGAACTAATTTGAAATGTGTAGAAAGGAGCAAATTCTGTTTGGTGGGCATCTTGCACAGCCAAGCTCCATCTCAAGGCTGGATGCTACTGTTCCTTACTACCTGCTGTAGCAGTAGTTTGTTTAGAGACCTGTAGCCTTCTGTAATGAACTCATACCTTTTCTTGCTAGGCCGCAGCCTGGAAGTCAGTGAGTTGGCCTCCATGTTGGGAAGGCAGTTCAGGATGGCGGACATGATGGTATAGGCAGAGAGGCAAGGGGAGGAGTCAGCTAACTCCTGATTGGTTCAGACCCCAAGGGGAGGAGTTGAAGGAGAGTGTAAATAGGCTCTCATTTCTGACAGAAGGAGAGAGAAGGATTTGATCTAGCAGAGAAAAGATTAGGATTTCAGACAGGGAGAAGAGAGTTTCTTAGTGAGCTAGGAATTAGCCTGTTAGGGAATAATTAAAGAGCAAGTGCTTCTGTATAGTTTGACTAGGGCAGTCAAAGTGAAGGCTTGTTTACTTGTATTAGGAGAGAATACAAGTGGGGTTATTTCCCTAAAGGTCAGAGTAGTCCAGGGGAAACCTAGATACTTTGGAAGGCAGCCAGGTGTGGCTGGTCAAAGAAACGCACTGTTACATATTACATGATAGTGTGAGGAAAGTAGCTCATGTTAAGGAGAAGTTACTGCTTCTAAAGAAACCATTTGCTTAATAAGTCTGTGCCTCAAACAAATTACGCATATGTACCTCTCAGTAGTCAGTTGTTTGCTTCAAATACTTCAATAAACATGTTCTCTAGTTTACTGTTAATCTGCCTCAGCCTTGTTTCGTCATATAAGGTTAGATCCAGTAAGCCTCCACATCTCTACAGTTCAGTCACCAGAAAGGGAGCCAAAAGGAAGAGCCGGTGTATAGGGACATTTTACCTCAAGTACAACAACAAGACAATTCCTCAAACTTTAATTTGGGGTAGTGGCAGCAAACCTACCATTACACCCACACGGTTCTCTCTCATCACCTGTAATTCCCTCTTATATTCTTAACACCTTCCATTCCTTTGTGTGAGCCTTTGTGCTTAGCGGTATTTCTTTCCGATAATTCTTCTTTTTTTCTTTTTTGTTCATCACCTTTTTTTCTTCCATTTCCCTTGTTTTTTTCAATTGTATTGCCATTTTCTTTGTCATTTTTTGAGAAGCCCAGGAACTTATTACTTCCTGGCAGTACTTATGATGTAAGATCCAGATGCCCAGTTGTCACTTCACCTACATGATGGAAAAGAACAAACATGGCCAAAATTTTACTGGTCATGCAATTATGTTTGAATGCTTTCACCTTCCAGATGCCATAGGAACAGCAGTCCTTGATAAGAAGCAATGCAACATGGGGTTTTTGTTCCATAGCCCCTTTGTCTGTAGTCCTTTCTCATTCTGATTTCTGAGCCAGCAAGGACCCTGCTTCAGTACCATTCATAGGCTCCATTCCCAGAATTCCTCTTTGCACTTTATTGTCTTCAGTGTCAGTATGCTCGCCTTTAATGCCATCCCCTGGAACCCAATATGATTCCAGGCCAAGCCATCTCTTTCCCAGACATGAGTAGGTCATGATAAGAACAGAGGAAGAGGAGAGAGGAAAGAAATACAACGGAAAAAGGAGAAGTTATAAGAAATATTGCATTTCATTCCTTGCACATCATCTCACAGTAGTTTCTCCCCCCCCCCCCCCATGATTCTACACAAATAATATAACATTTTTTCATTAAAAGTTCTACGTTTTGCTATGCATCAAAGCTTCGGCAAGTGTAAGGTTTAGGGAACACAACAAAACATGTTTTGAGACAACACTCCCCAACTCTTATGCCAAGAGATTTGTGTCTTTGATAAGTCCTTGATAAGAAGCAATGCAACATGGGGTTTTTGTTCCTTAAGCATTTCTTTGATAAAGTTACCTCAATTCTCTAAAGAGGGATACAGCCATATTCCTTGCTAATAAAACTAAACTTCATAACTAAATACAAGCTATGTACTGCTGATGTTATCAAATGTGCATCCTTTTATAAAAAAATAACTGCTACTGTAATCTGTTGTTCTTTTCTAGGAGGTGATGGTGACCGGCCTTCTGTGACTTTGTATAGTTGTGCAGGAGAAGGAATTGTCTTCCAGCACAACCCTTGGAAACTTAGTGGAGAAGCTCATGACATCAACAAACTCATCCGAGAAACTAATTCTGTCAAAGTTAGTATAAATCTAGGCCATGAATAAAAGTTACATGTTATAATTTCTGAATTGCAGCTGTGGCCATGAAACCTCTGACACTGATAGAGTGAATTAGTGTCATGGCACAGAATGTTTAGCTGCACTGGACTGTGTGCAGTACAAGTTTATAAGGAAATGAAAGGGTTGGGTCAGGATTAGAAGTAGGCTGCCATAAGGGAAAATAGAGTAGGGTACCAGGAAAATAGATCTAGAGGTGTGGTAGTTGGCAGGCTTTCCATAAATTGTGTATTAGTCTGGAAACAGAATCCTGGACTATATAGGTCAAGGATCCGATCTAGCAAGGTTCTTCATGTTCATAATGAATTCCTTGATTTTTCAAGTGGAGCTAATATTTAAGAAAACAAGAGTTGGAAGAACAATGTCATCTCAAATCATTAATGAAAAAAATTGCAGCATAATGTGTTTGAATTTTGCATGGTTGCAGTCCTAGAAGCCAGAACTGTTAAAATTTCATAGTTTTTGTCTGCTTTCTTGTAGCACAAATTACCTGCACACACAGAGATCAGCTGGAAACCAGATGGCACTATCTTGGCCATTGGTAATGAAGATGGGTATGTTCTAAAATTTAAAGTTGGTTCTAGCTCAATATTTGCAGTAGATACAGAGGTTTTGGGGCAAAATGACAAGACTAGTATGTGGATTCTTAAAACTGCTTTCTGCCTTTGTTTTAATGTTAGCTGAGGATCTTTAGTTGTGTTATTATTTCATGTTTAGTTGTGTTATTATATAGTAACAGCAGCAGATAGAAGGTGCTTTTGGTAAATAACAGCAGGAGTGTGTCATTATTCACTAAAAAAAAAAAGAATAAGAAATAAGCATTTTGATATAGTTTATCCGTGTATTTGTGATTGAATCTTTTGTAGTCTTGAGTAGTAACATTTTGAAACTTTGGTGTTGAGAGTGAGCCATCATGAGCCTTGGGCTTTCTCTTGCCCGTGCTATTCTTTCAGCCTGATTTTAAGATGGATTTGCAAAAGTTAAAACACCAATATGTTAACTATGGTTTGTTTGAACAAGAGGTGTTTGAGGTTCACCTGTTTCAAAGGACCAATAATTAAGATAAAAGTTTTGTCCATGCATCTTATAGAACAAGCTATATGAGTCGCCATTTCGGCTGAGAAAGGCGGTATAGAAGTAAAGCAAATAAATAAATAAATAAATGAACAAGCTGTAGTTAATCCAAACAAGATTAGATCTCCTTCTGCATTCAGTAGGTAGTACACAGGCCTGAGGCCTACTGCAGCTGATTTTCTTGTGCTATGATTCAGTGTGGTGAAGGACAGGTGGGGTGGGTCTGGGGTCCATTTTTCTGGCCCTGACATTTACCCTGACAGTCAAAAAGGACAAAAAACAAAATTATGAATCAGCTAAATCATGGGGCTGGTTGGATAACTGTTAATAGAATCATAGAGTTGGAAGAGACCACAAGGGCCATCCAGTTCAACCCCATTTTGCCATATCATACTGTGGGCCAGGCTACTGTTCTATAATGGTGGTATGTCAGAATGCTCTTGAACAAAGTTTTGTAGGGCTTTGTGATAATGTGCTTAACTTATTTTATGCTCATTTGCCTACAAAAATAGATCTTGGAAGCATACTAAAGCTTATTTATCTTTCAGATGCAGCAATGGTTAAATTTAGTAAGCACTCAGATGTAGGATATCCTTAGGAGTCAGTTTTGGGAGGAAACATGACAAATGTCTTTATTTGCAACATGACATACATTGTGAAATGATCACCTGATACTTCTGTGTTTCAGATCTATTGAATTATTTCAAGCTCCTAACTTGAAGCTGTTGTGCACCATTCAACAGCACCACAAACTCATCAATGCTATTCGCTGGCATCATGATCATGGAACGCAGCCAGAACTGAGTTATATGATAGCTTCTGGCTCCAACAATGCTGTCATTTATGTGCATAATATCAAGAGTGTCATAGGTGACTATTCTTTCCTCCTTTAAAACTTTCCAATCCATATACTCCAAATTATTTTTCTCCTACAGAGCTGTGTTATCTTCTCTGTAACATGAAATGCCACAGGAGTAGGGTCTCCTTACCCACACATACTTTTATTTGTTTGGGTAAAGATATATATGTGTTATGAAAGAGTTAAGAAGGATAACAAGTTTCCTGTGTAATGCAACAGGACTTGACTGTTCATTAAAACAGAAGCGAATTAATTAAAGTACCTGCCTTAAGAGAACTAGTATTCTTTTAGAAGTGCTTAGAAAACAGAGGATATTCATATAAGAATGTAACAGTGGCTGTTGTGATGGACGTTTTCTGTCTACACAATCTTGTATATAGTCCAGTGTTCCGCTATATCTGCATTGCTTCTGTGTTAATGAAGCTCAAGCTATATGGCTAAACTATATGGCTAAACTGAAGTGATGTACATTTAGTGACTTCTTCTCTGGTTGCTTCTAACATCATACATCTGTCTTTAGAGAACTCTCCAGAGAGGCCCATGACAATAACTGAGCCCTTTCGCACTCTTTCGGGACACACAGCTAAGATCACTAGCTTGTCTTGGAGTCCACATCATGATGGAAGATTGGTTTCAGCTTGCTATGATGGCACTGCCCAGGTACAGTTCTCATATACTTTTTATTTCCATTGTTGCCACCTGTAAAACATAAAGGATTTAGGAATTTCTGTTCTTGAAAAAAAAACTTTCATCCTATCCAGAGGTACAATTGGCTACAGAATTCATACACAGGATTAAATATATAAGGTGGCATTGATTGACATTGTCACTTTTGAGCTCAACATTTTTCAGCCAATTGCATTTTGTCGTTGGTGTGCATTTTTGTCCTACACAATGCAATATATATGGGACAAGAATATTTTCCCCCTTCCTCTCCTGTTCACTGTTTGTATCTGAGCACTGGCAAGGCACTGGTGATATCCAGTTGCAGATGCTGCTGTTTCAAAGCAATGATAAAACGGGAAAGACTGTGTAATCACAAGATTCTGGAGGACAAGAATGTTACTTCTAACTTTCAGTTGCAGAACATGTTAACTATGTTTTGCTTCTTGAGACATGGTACGCACTGGGAATAAATTTTACCATGATAAGCTGCTGGTAGAGCTCAGTGGTGAATGCTAATTCTTTCACAAAATGACATGGGAGAAATTAGAAAAATAGGACAAATGAAAAATATGGTGTCCGCATTAACGGAACCTGATTTCCACTGGATTAAAGTGGTGAGAGCCAATATTTTCATGAGATGAAAGTGGTTAAATGCTAACCATTGGTACCATGACTCCCCCATTGTTTTTTTCAGTAGGGCAGCAAGTAAGACTACAACATTGCTGTAAAGAGACTGACTTGAGAGTGTGTGTCGGGAGTTTACTAAGCAGGGACTGTTTTGTTGTTGGGGAAGAATATTGTCCTCACCACGAACTATTCATATTATGACTTCCTTAAACAACTGTCTTTCAGAATTTATGTCCACTTCCCAGTTTGAGAGTTCATGAAAGGTTGTGGGGGTTTTTCAGTTGAAAGTAACTGAGGTTGTGTTTTTGGAAAATAGTTGTATAAAATCCTTTTCCTTCAATGTTGAGTTTAAGGAACATCTACATTTGATGCTCTCCAAGTTGCCTACCTCCTGTTTTTATATGTTATACATTGTGGGTAGATGCCCTCCAGTTGCCTAAACTCCCATTGCCATTTGGGGAGCATCTGGTTGCCTTAACAGTGTACAAAAACTCAGATCACATTTCTAGAACCCAGAGAGTGGTTTTTGGTGAGGAAATGCTGTTAGAATTTTGGTTTTAATGACAGGTTTTGTTCACAGGTCTGGGGTGTTCTAAAGGAAGAGCCTTTGCATAATTACAGGGGACACCGGGGCCGACTGCTTTGTGTGCAGTGGTCACCTGTGGAAACAGATGCCATCTACACTGGAGCCGATGACTTCTCTGTCCATAAATGGGTCGCTATAAAGCAGGAACATAGCCGCCCTCCTCCAGGTGTGTGTCTTTGAGATGCTGAAAGTGGGAAAGAGGAACATGCTAAAATCTGATTTTTCTTCCTGACACTAAATTATTGTTTCCTCGGGTGTAAGTGTTAAGCACACCTTTATCTGTGCAGCCCTTCATTTCCAGAAACAGAAATTTCTGAAGTGTGATAAAAACGAATGGGTTCACGTGATACTGTTTTTAAGTTGAGTCATAGGGAGAGATTCAAAGAACACGACAAAGAACAGCCACAAGCTGTTTTAACTATGTTTAACTATGTTTATTGTTTTATCCTTAATTTAATGTGTTTTATTTTTGATTTACAGCCTTTCGTTTGATATTACGTATATTGTTTTTGTGTTGTGAGCTGCCCCAAGTTCCTTTGGGGAGCGGGGGCAGGACATAAACAAAGTTTATTATTTGTATTATTAAATAAAAAGAAGCATATTTCCCATTCTGTTTGTTTTGAGAAAGTCAATAGATTTTAGCACTGCTAATAGAACTAACTGCTCCTCATGCATCCTTGCATGTTACTGATGTGTTTAGAGCATCCATGGGCAACCTTTGGCCCTCCAGGTGTTTTGGACTTCAACTCCCATAATTCCTAACAGCCAGTAAGCTGGTTGGGATTTCTGGGTGTTGAAGTCCAAAAACTTGGAGGGCTGAAGTTTGCCCATACCTGGTTTAGAGGCATTGTTTCACTCTGTGTGTGTATGTGAGAGAGAGAGAGAGAGAGAGAGAAAGAGAAAGATTCCCTCCTTCCAAAGACTGGTTTTATTTTGAACACAAGTAACTATTTTCAGAACATCTCTTCAGTAGGTAAGAAGAACATTGACTTAGAGAAAAAGAGAAGCACTCAACTCAAACTTAAAACTAAGAAGAAGAAGAAGCCACCTGGAAAGCAGCCTTCGACACCGGAAGTGGGTGATTGGTTGAATGGTGGTGAGGACATAAAAGAGTCTCCCTTAGAAGAGAATAGGATGTCAGACCAAGAGGGAGAAAAAGAGGACCAGGAAACAGCTGAGAAAATATCAGTGGAAGGTATTTCGATTTCTGCTGAATTTATATGTTTTTCCAGAATAATTGTCCCAACTATTTCCCTGGATCTTGAAAGTCCTCTGTTATCTGCATATATAATAATGAATGAGACAGCTTTTTTTTTTTTACTAAACTCACATGATGTGTTAAGCTTTTAAAATGCCATAGTAATTATGGGAAATGGCTAGTGAGGTAGCTGCTGTATATAGGGTTTTTCAAAAAGATGGACCCGATTTGAAATTGCTATATCTGTGCAACCACACACCACCTATGAATGAAACTCTTATCACTTGAAAGGGTGGGACATGGAGTTTCAAGTAATGACCACTAGATGCCTCTCCCAGCACATAAATATTCAGTCATTCGCAAGATGGAGACCCTACAACTTAAGGCCTAGTGAGATATTCTCCATTTGCAGAGTTACATTTTAATTTTTTTTCTGGCTCAAAATGGTTAGTAAAACTTGATAACTCATTAAAATGTTAGTAACTTGTTTTGTAATTGTAACATTTTACCATTATGAAATATATTGCTTTGAAATTGGTCCATGATTTTGAAACACTGTATTTTAAAAATACAGGCATTTGAGATTACCTTTGGAATTTAGTCTTGGAAGGATACAGTGAAGAAATTCAGCATCATGAACATCTAGTTCTCAGATCATCAGAAAGTATGTGAAGAAATGTAAAGACTGCTGTGTAAACGCAGTTACTTTCTTGATTCTGAAGCGAAACACTCTCTTTAGTTGAAACAGTAAAAGGCTACGCTCTTTTTACTACTTTTACAGAACACCTGTTTTTAACTAGTTTTGAAAGACAGACGTAATAAAACGTTTAATATATTACAAGAAACAGATTACCTTTCACACTACATTTGCCAAGCCTTCTTTCTGATTATTTTTATTCATAGCCTGTGCAAATATGGTCAGTTCTGTTAGGCTTTAGACAAAAATAGTTCTTTTCTTTGCTGCAGTTCACAAGGTTTTGCCTTCATGTCCACAAACTGCTTCTGGAGCAGACGTTCCAAAATCTTCCTCAACCATCAAAACTCTGCCTGTGCGGAAGGATCCCATAAAACCAGGTTGGTATCTGTTCAGGATTAGAATGGCAGTATCTGAAAAGAAATATACAATTTAAGTATATGAATTCTTCTTTGCTTTAAAAAGCAAAAATATCTTGTATTTCCAATTTGGTACTGCTGCTCAAAAGAGGGTACACTCAAATACTTATGGACAAACAAAAAAGGGCTAATTCACAGGACAATATGTTCTACTGGGGTATGAGGATTTTAAATCCCATTTATTTCAGTTAAAGAGAAATGTGTGCATGATTAATGTCTCACATTCAACAGAGCTTGACATAAAAGTATTCTAAACCAAACAGTTAGTGAGGAGATCCAGCATATTTGGATTCATGCCCTTAACATACAGAAACCCCAACCATTATTTTGTAATAGGCATATTTTTATTGTGTTATACCCTTCTCTAAAATAGTTCCATATGGCCATTCACCCAGGTGGATTCTGGGATAATATTAAAACAAATACATTCAGGTAAAATATGATAGAATAAAACAACAATAATTAGAGCAAACAGGAGGCAAGCTATGTACTTTGCTCATGTTTTAGCAATAAGAGTGATTCAGATCATATTTTGTTCTCTCTTCCCCCCCCCCCCTTCCTTTGAGTGTATATGATTATTTGTTTTTGTCCTTTAATATGTGCTGCATTCAGGCCGCTTCATTCTTACTTACTTTAAATAGTGATATTTAGTTTCAAATGCAATAGGAGTTGAAACTACTTTTCTCTCCCCTCTTTGGGGAGAAATCAATATCCTGCTTTTTCCCTGCTTGGGATGAATTGATCTAGGTCCAAAAGATGTGTTCTTGAAATGTATGAATGTATGAATGGAGCTCCTGACTTCATGACCTAATATGAAATTGTGGGATCTTTCTCTACAGGGTCAGATGCTTTTGTGAAGAGGAAAAAACCTCGCTCCATCCTTCCTCTCAGCACAAATATGGACCATAGGTCAAAAGAAGAACTTCACCAAGACTGTTTTAGAGTTGCAACTTTCTTACATGCAAAAGGTGCAGACAGAAAATACTCTTGTGATGCCATATTCTTCTACTTTTTTTATTTACGATGTTTACGTCTTGATACTTTTTAAAGTGAATCCTTAAAATAAGACAGCTGCTAGACATGGTTGTAACTTACTGGAGCTGTGCATAGGCATTTCAGATTGAAGGTATCAGTGTGATGCTGCATAAATGGTGTTGCATTGCAGAGTAAAACCCTGATAACTGTTGTACAAGACTTGGAGGGGAAGTAACACATTGGAGTACACCCGCATGACTACGTTCATATTGGAGAAGTGCTGCTCCATGATCTTTGTGTGTAGGCACAGAAAAGAATAAACTTCAACAGAACTTCTTTAAAACATTGGGACCTAAAATTTGGGAGATGGGAGGGGAGAAGGAAACACCACTTGTGTCCATTACATTTAACTAAAGGGAATGACTATGCTTTCCTACTTTGTTGTTCTGTGAATGGCATACTGATGGTGTCAAGTTCCCTGAACCAACTGAGTTCAAACTTTAATTCTTCTCCTTAGAAATAAACAGCAGAGGTTGTTTATTTCTAAGGTATTTCTCTTTTGCCCGTTTTGCATTTTGAAAATTTGTGGCTACTCAGTTGTCAGTTTTGAGTAAGCACATTGGCTCCTGTGTCTATCTGATTCCCCTTCGAGGTTGAGATAGAGCGGGATAAAAATACAGTAAATTAAAAAAAATTGTAAAATGAAATCGTGATTATCCCTTGCACTGTGACAAAGGAAGCAACATGCTAATGAGGTCTTTATTTCATGTTTAGCAACATACATGAAAATGAAACTTTAGTCCATGTACTGCTTAAAAGTGTTAAGACATGAGACTAAATACAGGTAGTCCCCACGTTACAAACATCAAATTTACAAACAACTCACAGTTAAGAATGGGGCTGAGACAACAGGAAGTGAGAGAAATCTACCCCTCAGAAGGGAAATTCACTCCTGAAAGACTTATAATGGGGAAAAGGTGTTTCCACTGAAGCTTTATCACCAATTCTTGTTTCCACAACAAGCCAATTTTTAAAATCCAATTATCTCAGGGACAGAAATTGAGGTGAAATCTTCTGAACAGGGGCACAGACAGCAAAACAAACACCACAAGGGTGTTAACCTTTCCCTATGCTACCTACAGAACGTATCCTGTTCATAACTTAGGGACTGATTGCCTGTTTAAGAATATGAGGAGACTCTCCACTTGAATGACGAGTATTGGGAATCTTCTGTATTTTCTTTCAAGTAATTACTATTTTAGATGGCAGCCCTTCTCCAAGTGTTCTCTGTATATTCATTATTGTTTGTGCATAATCAGACTTGTAAAAAAGTCAGTCTTTCTATCATGGATTGTGAAGGGAGAAGAGGGGAGAAGAGAGATAGAAATAGAAAATAACCTTTTCTCCCCATTCTTTTAGACATGAAGGAAGATCTAGCATCTTTTTCAAAGGATCCTGTTCACTTGGGACTCTTCACAGATAGACCTTCTCTGTACAAGATGATGGAAACAGAAGGTTAGATTTTATCTTGAATATATATTTTAACACTTCTTTGGGAGTGCAGTGCATTGAAAATGTGATGCAATTGCTAAATATTTATGTGGCTTTAATTACACACTAAATTGTGAAATACAGTTTCTAAAAAAATCATCCATTTCCAATCGGCAAACAAACCTTCAAGGTTGAGTTATATTTTTGCTAGCCATTGGTAGATTGCCATAGACTTAACTGCTGAAGTTTGTGGATTGCCCCTAGAATCATAGTGTTGGAAGTGACCACAAGAGCCATCCAGTTCACCCCATTCTGCCATGCAGGAAATGCACAATTGGAGCACCCTCAACAGATGCCATCCAGCCTCTGGTTAAAATCCTCCAGAGAAGGAGCCCCCACCACATTTCTAGGCAGTGAGTTCCATTATTGAACAGCTCTTACCTTCAGGAAGGTCTTCCTAATGTTTAGGTGAAATCTTGTTTCCTGCATCCATTGCTCCATGTGCTAGTCTCCAGAGCAGCAGAAAACAAGCTTTCCCCCTCCTAAATATGACATCTTTTCTGATATTTAAACATGGCTCTCATGTCCCCTCCCAGACATCGTTTCTCCAAGGCATAATTTCTTCATAGGCCTTGGCTTGCAGACCGTTTATCATCTTGGTTGCCCTTCTAGGAAGATGTCTTCCCCACTCACGGAACTCTGCAAATTATAACAATCTTGCAACCTGGAGATGACCCTCTCAATAGGCTGTTATATAAGAATTTTCTTACTAAATGTTCAGAAATGTTTGGTTTCGTGCCATACAGACAAATGTCAGATTGTATACCATGTGTTTATAATATAATCAGTCAGGCAAAAATATTATCCCTGGATGCCACAAAGGCACTGGCTATCTTGGAATTAAGTTTTTTGTTAAAATTGCTACATACAGATTTGGATCTTAATTTGTGATTCAGTTAATTCAAAATGTATATGCAGAAGCAAATTCAATTGTGTATATTCACCGTTTAAACTCTTTCTCAGTTCCACATGCAAGAGGTACTCATCAGGGTTGTCTTCTGTCTCCACTTTTATTTATAACTAGCCATCCCCTGCCACACATTGCTGTGGCCCAGTCTGTGTATATGTGTTTTTTGTGTATATGTGTATATATGTGGTTTTGTGCATGCGTTGTAATGTATTTTTAATTTTTGGCTTTTTAAGTCTTTTCCACTGTGTTTTTCAGTGTTTTTATGAGTGATGGTCACTCATTGGCCTGATAGGTGTATTGTGTCCAAATTTTGTGTCCATTCGTCCAGTGGTTTTTGAGTTATGTTAATCCCACAAATAAACATTACATTTTTATTTATATTGATTGCTGTGGAAACATTAGCTGAGATCATTAGAAGTATAGATAACATTCTTGTTTTCTTGACTCTGAAGTGCATAACTTTCCATAATACTGCCTAAAGGTATCTAGAATTTCTAGGATTAATTGCTGTACTTCCATTGTCTTTTTTAAAAACCCTGCATAATTGTAGTTATGGTATGTTGTTAACTGTCCTTCATCTCAACATTGGAGATGAAAGGGCGGTGTAAAAACTACTAAATAAGCAATGAATTAACGAAGAGGCATCCTTTGCTTCCCAACAGGAAAAAGTCACATAGAGAATGGACACCCAGAGTTATTTCAGCAGCTCATGTTGTGGAAAGGAGATTTGAAAAGTGCTCTCCAATCAGCTGCAGAAAGGGGCGAGATAACAGATCAACTAGTGGCCATCTCACCAATGGGTCAGTCTAATATCCAGAAGTCCTGCTTTGCTTTGAAACAGGCTAAGCTCAGACACAGCAAAATTTTGTTACCCAGTCTGGGAGAAGATTGGAAGAACTAAGGCCTTTAGTCCAGTCCTCAAGTCAATACATTATAATACTGACTTTCACCCTTTGTAACAATTCTGAAGTGTTTTCTCTCATAATTGGGGATCCTGCATGGTGTTACAATCCAAGGATTTTTAAAAATTATTTCTACATAGACTGTTTTCTCATATTTTCATTTCTTGTTGTCAATATGCCCCTCCCCCCCTTTTTTCTCTTTCTTTTTTTTAAGCTGGCTATCAAGCCTGGGTGTGGACAGTGGAAGCTTTCGCCAAGCAACTCTGTTTTCAAGAGCAATATGTCAAGGCTGCCTCACATCTCCTCTCTCTCCATAAAGTATATGAAGCTGTGGAGCTTTTGAAGTCACATAATTTTTTCAGGTTTCTACATTCCTGTTGTTTTAGTGGGTCGCAGCTTACAGATGAGATTATGTGATTAATGTTTCCAATAGTATTTATTGCTGACATTAAGCTAAATTTGTGTGATCTGGGTTGTTGCTTTTTTACTTCATACTCTTATCCTTTTCTTTATTTAATCCTACTTTTCCCTACTCCTCAATTCTATGTCTATTTTAGTACATTTTCAGTCATGCATAATCAGCTTAGTACAAGCTGGTGGGTAAATATGGGAATTACTGTATATTGAAAAAGTAGGGAAGATGGTTCTAATATGAAATCCATAGCCTGTATTACTTCAGAATGCTTTTGAGTGGCTTCTAAATGATAGCTGATGACGATGGACATCACTCATTTAATTTTATTTTAACTAGCATAAATAAATCATAAGTAATTGTGATAATGCTGTACATGGATGCAGTTACTTTTCACGCTTTCAGTCATATTACGCACGTCTAAATTCTAGAGTTTGCAACCTTTTAGCGATAAAGATTTTTCATGTCTGCATGGATGTAAATCTAATTTACACATTTGTATCTATCACTTAGCTTGTGATGAATACAAATGCATAAATTATGGATTATTTGCCATACATGATGCTTTGAAATAATCCATTACCTACTCAATCATAATTTCTCAAATGTAAAGTATTCATATATTCAGCAAAGAGTCATTGTTTCTTAAGTAATGAGGAATTTGCTGGTGTTCATCTATGTGGGAACCAAAGCTCTTTCAGGAAAACCTGCTCTCAGAAGTGATCTGCAGCCATGCTAATGTTCAACTACATTGTTCAAGTCAAGTTAGCCTGTTTCTCTCAGTTGCTGTCTCAACAGGATTCTATACATTGGCATTTGGGAAAAGTTCTGGAACATGGGGAAATAATGGTTTATCAAAATATTGGTTTTTTTTTCTTTTTGCATTTTTCTCAGGGAAGCCATTGTAATTGCAAAGGCAAGATTACGGCCTGAAGATCCTGTGCTGAAAGAGCTGTACACCAGCTGGGCAGCAGTGTTGGAGAAGGATGGCCATTATTCCCTGGCAGCCAAATGGTACTTTGACAGTGATGTTTTGTCAGGGCCTTATGAAGCCCTGACAGAGTCAAGAAAATACCTAAGATTCCTTTAAGAATGTGATCATCTTGGGTGATCCTTCTCTTTAGTATCCAACAGGAGGAGGTGATCAACAAATAGTGCAGAATACTGTAACGTTTTAAAATGTCATAATGCTCAGGGTAGGGGATAAAGATGTTCATCAATTCATTTCAATCAGACAAATAGAATCTCATCTTGACTATCTAGTTATTTGTGTTAGTGGGCATGGCGACTGTTTCCTTTTATCTGAACAAATTCATTGGCCTTGTTCTAAGGCCTCGAGAGACTATGCTGCTATGTTAGTGTTGTCAAATGTTTTTTTAAAAAACAGTTTTTGTGGACCTTACGGCAGCCTTTGACATGGGACAACCATAGAAAAATGCTACCATATTACCCAGGACTATGATTTTACAAAAAATATCAAGACTCTCCTAGAAAACCACAGCTTCTATGTGGAATTTCAAGGCAAAATAATGATTTACCTCAAAGCAGCATTCTTGCACTGACCTTTACTAACAATCAGCCATGACCACCACTCACAAAGAGCTTTATATATGCTGAGGACCTTGACCTAACAACACAAAGACTTTAAAACAGTCAAAAATCATCTTACTAACACCCTGAAAGAGCTCTCCAGCTATTAAAAAGATAACCAAAGTTACCTGGGAAGGCCAAGAGCAAGAACACTGTCCCCATCCTAAATACCTTGGTGTCACCTTAGATCAAAAACTAACATTTAGGAAACACTGTATGAACCCCAAGCACGAAGTAGCTGCAAGCAATAACATCCTGCGGAAACTTACTGGCAGCCCAAAATTAATAAGAACATCAGCCTTGGCCTTGTCTTATTCAACTGCTGCATGTGCCTGCCCTGTTTGGCACAAGCCTGCCCACACGAAGCAGGTGAATATAGCATTGAACAAAGCATGCAAAACATACAGAATAATCACTGGATTCCTCAGACCTATGCCTGCTGATAGACTTCCTATCCTTCCGATGTGCGACAGGAAGTTGCTGCCAACTGTGAGAGAAATAAGGTTGAACACTGTGAAAGCCATAATACTGCATGGCTATCAGCTTCCTCCCAGTAGACTCAAATCAAGGAAAAGCCCCTCTTAATGTTCCCCCAGCAACAGCATCCCTCAGGGCAGCTAAACCAAGAAATCCCAACTGGATGGTCCACGGAGGTCTGCCTTCAGTGGCAAACCAAGAATGGGCAACTTGGAAGTACCTGAACAGACTTAGAAGTGAGGTTGGCAGATCAAAAGACAACCTGACTAAATGGCACTTCCTAGAACAATCCTCCACCTTGTGGAGCAAAACAAACAACTGAGCATCTGCATGCCTGCCAACAATGCCCTGCCTCATGCACAGAGGAAGAACTGTTTAAAGCTACAGACAATGCGGTCGCTGTTGCCCATTTTTGGTCAAAAATTATTTAGCCGCTTGTTGTACCCTCTATTTTGTCAGTTTTTTACTAATTTATTTATGCAATGCTTTTAACACAAAACAAAATAAAATGTTGTCAAATTATATTTATTCATGAGTGCAAACAGCTTGTGCATGATGATAAAACTTGCTTTGTAGTGGTTTATTTATAGTGATTTCTTTTTAGCATAGCACTTGTTTTGATGTGAATTGTAGGTAATTCTGATAGCATTAATAGTTTGAAAGAGATGCCCATAGTTTTGAAATGAACAAGC